TCTATCTATCTATCTATCTATCTATCTATCTATCTATCTATCTATCTTATTCCTTAAGGCCAATTATGCCCCCATCAACATATCATAGCTACGGCAATCTCTGAGCATTAACTGATTTGCATGAAGGCATTTTTATAATCAACAATCTATTGAAAGATTTTTTTAAAAATTCCTGTTTGGATGTTCCTGTGTAGAATCCACAGAATTAGATCCAAGCAAATATTTTAATATAAGTTTGGCAAACATTTTAGGAAGAGTTCCATAAAAATACATAGTACATGGAAATGACTTAGTTCTGAATTGTTTTTTGTAAGGACCATACATGGGCATAGATGGCCAAACACTACAGGACCATCTCAACTTAGAAGTCAGTTAGATTTTAACAAGAATGCTTGCTATTATATAGAGAAAAAAGGCATGTCAGCTAAGTACAAGGTCAAATACTTTATAAACAGGCACAATTATTATTTTGATGTAAAGTGAAATATTTATAGCCTCGTTTATGGGAAAAATATTTTTGGATGTTTTTATTGGTTCAGATATTTTCTTTTCCAACTTATTCATACTACCTGATCCCATAATGTATCTTGAGCCACCTCTCTGTTGATCTAATTGAGCAACTTCATTTCTCACATTGGTTCTGGGAAAAGAGGGAAGGAATATTTTAAGCCTTTGAATGGATCTACTAGTCTACTGAAAATGTATAATACAGTGATAATACAGGCAATACTTGAATTATGTCCATGAATTACATCCAAAAAAATTTGTTGTGAAGTGGTATGACCATTAGGTGAGGTGTCTTATGATTACAACCAATTTTACAAATTTTTGACATGATCATTAAGCAAATCACCACCAACATTTTGAGACATCAAATTATATCACTTTGAGACATTCCTGTCAGTTTACCTACTGCTTTAGCTTGTTGGAAGATAAATGCAACCTGGTTCCCTAATGCTCCAATTATTATCATATGATCATAGAAGTGGCACAGTGCTCATAACTTTAAAGATGGGTTATAAGTCACTAATTCCAACCATTGTTAAATTAATAGTTATAATTTGAAGACCATTTGAAACCCCGACTTAACTAATATATTTATTAAGCTCAACTGATTTCAATGAATATAAGCTTCCAAATATTCCTAAAGATTTTGCTGTCCAAACTGTGGTACATAAAGGCCTTGTTGTTATTACAATTATGATATTGATTTCTTATATTTTAATTTAAATCTTATTAATTATAAGCAATTTGGAATCCTTAGAAGTAGAGCAGAGCAGCATTTAAGTCAAAATAATACACAAATAAATGCTATTAAATATAGAAAGTAATACATAATACATGTATGGTTTTGTAACTCTAGTTGTTATTAACAATGAATATATTGCAGCCCGTTGACATTCACAGCAATTTAAAATAAATTTAGAATTTGGAGTAAAATCTGTTTTTGGGGAACAATGACATTCAAATGATGCTTTCAATGTGAGAAATATATTGCAAACTAGTCCAGTAACTGATGCCCTGAGTTATTTCAGAATTTCCAAAAACTCTCTCTCTCTCACACATATACATCTTCAAACACAAAGCCACAGAATAAAACAAAATATTATTATGTGCAATTATTATAACCAGATTTTCATGTTTGAACTAAATGTCTTTATATGAAACATTGTACAAATGTAAAGACATATAATCTTAACGCAAGTAGGCTACATATTATTTTAATTATTACCTGAAAATATATTTTCCATGTCGTTGATATTAACATTACTTTCACTACTTTGTGTACCTTAGAAGTGGGAGTTCAGCCAAAGCGATCTGGAGTTTTGCCTCCTTTGTTTGAGCATTACATCGGAAAATATGAAGGACAATGGTATATCTGTCAAAAACCTTCACGCCCCAGGCCTTTTCAAGTTCTTTCTATACAAATATAATATAAATGGAAATGTTTAATATTTCTGCAAATTTACTTGCATTCAAGCCTCTCTCTAGCCTATAATGAATGAAAGCCAAAGCGAATCGTGTGAGGGCAATTCATTGTATGTCATCAACATACACGTACTCTAATCACAAAGAAACATTTGGGGGGCTTGGTGACCGCTTTCCATAACTGCAGTATCAGATGGTGAAAAGTTAAAAAGAACACAGAAAAGTAAAATATGCCAAACTAGATTAAATATAGGTGCAAAGTTAAATAAAATATTTATTTACATACATGAATATGCCTCCTCTTATTTTAGGTAGCCGACAATAAAACATGAAGCTATTGAGCATAACATTTAAAATATATTCAATAAATACATCATGTAACCTCAGAGATAGGCAAAATAATGTTGTCCTACTCCCAATATTTTCTATTATATTTCCCTCTCCAACCTGAAGGGCCACTAGAAAACTATTGTCTTGGCAGTCTTCCTAACTAGTAACACAACTGCCTTGTGGAGACACTGTTCCAAAGAAAATATTGCTACTGAACAGATCTGTTTACACACTCTTCCAGAGGAGGACTTTAATTAGCTTGGCATCTGATGGAAGACAAGCTATGCCATGCAGAGCCCTTCTAGGAAATTCCTGACTTGTCTTGCAGATAGCTCCCCCACCTCCACCCCCAGATGGATGAAGGAAATGATGGTGGAGAAAGATGCAAGACTATCAGCTGCCTTTAACCCAATAACAACAGAAAGCTGTAGGATTTTTCCCCTTGGTTGATTTAAATTGTTACTATATTAGAGTTGGCAGAAAATAGTACCAACATGAATTCTGCTTTCTTTATTGGTAATCTCATTCATGGGAATAATATAAATCCCTGAACCAAAACCTCTAAACTTCCAAAATCCCTGAATTCAAGTAAGCTTAATAGTTCACATAGGCATTTGCAGATGCTGGTTTGCAAGTTATCTGAAATCAGCACTTGCATTTTTAAATGGGAATTAGGAAGTAACCAACCATGAAAACTAACTAGTGCAGACTTCCATGTTATTATCCTGCTTATCTCATTATAACCAGAAAATCTGAGCCATGTTATGGTTGGCATTTGGCATCTTTACTGATCAGGCATTTATTATAAAGATGATGCTATCCATTCAATCTTATTAATTCTCGACAATTGTATGGACCAAGCCTCTTCACATTTTCCAATCTTATATGGCTTCTTTCAGTTGCTTATTGCTATAGCTGGTGTCAGGTTTACTGGAAACATGCACACCATATTCATATAAAAAATTCCAAAAAGGAGAATTAAAAGAATGGATATTTTCAAACTAAAATGTACTTACTTTAGTTATAGGAGAGAGCATTTCTACATTTACGAAGACAGATGATAAAAAAGGCAATCTTTTAATTTTTTCTGAAAAGAAATTATTAAGATAATTATATTTGAAAATTAAGATCTAATTATTTGTGTTTTTAGGAAGTGAAATAATATCGAAACACTACAGTTATTCAGTCAGAATCATGTTTCAAATATTTATGAATCAAATCTGATAGCTTAAGTAAGGTATAACATCACTCATGTTAAAAAAATTAAAATGTACAATATCTAATTTATCTGAAATTAAAGACATTTAAAATATGACAATCTACTGTATTTTCATTGCAAACAAGGATTTAGCCCACGTTTCACACAAATAGAAATATTAATAGGAACTTAACTATAAGTATTACAGGTAATCTACATTAAAAGAAAAAAAAGAGGGAGTTTGGCCCCAGAATATTGCATTAAGAAAAGTTTTGAAATTCATTCTTACCAGTTAGAAGTTGAAAATTTCCTTTGTGAAAGATAAATTTCTTGTCAGGAATTTGTATAGGAAGAATGATTTTATCTATCACGGTCCAGTTTTGAAGGGTGTTTATTAGAGTAACAGCTTCAGCTAGCTGCAATTCAGCTATAACATTGGGAAAAAATTAATTGTAATGATAATCACACATCACATACTTCTAACATTTGCCTATATATAAACAATTGCATTAAAATGGATGTAATGATACTTTGGAATATTTATTTCTTTGAAATTAAGGGAAAGTACTACAGCAATATGGAATTTCATCAGCAGATTTTCTGTATATCAATAGCATAAACCATCAGTAAAATGTCAATGCATTCAAGTTTGAATACATTGAACGATAAAATACAAATTCTCTATCTTTTCCTTTATAAACACTCTAACAGCAACAAAGATTTCTAAGAACTACCATATAAATCAGTTTGGCAATATGGTATATGATTCCCCAAGATGATGCCCATGGAACAAAAACATTCAATAAAAATGGCTGCATTTTAAAAAATAAATGGCTGAAATCACAAATCACCAAATTTCATGAGATTTTGATGTTCCTGTTTAAAATCTTATAATAGTAGCAAAAAATAAAAATCCCAATTAAAAAAAATCTCACATTTTGCCCCCCCCTTAAAACATGTATATTTGGGTATCAGTGCTAACCACCTGTAGTAATCTTTAAAAAATATTGTTTTAATGACAAAAGTGTATTTATTTTTGGCCTCCCATTTGTAGAGTAGTTGAGAATGGGTGAAGAGTATGAACACATTTGGATTTGATTAATGTTAAAAAAAAGTTTCTGCTTTGTCCATTTTAAAGAATTTGGGACAAAAGTGCAAATTTAATATGATAAAATAACTAGATCACAACAGGAGAGTTATGTTAACTAGATTTTACTTAAATGTTATCTTAAATGAAATCTTCTTTGATATCCCTTTTCAGTATTGAGAGGTCAGTGTCAATCTGCTGCAAAAATTGTGAATGATCACTAGAAAGTATACTGTCTTGTAGGTATCCTCAAATTTCTGCATCTCAGGTCAGTCCTAACCCTGGGTGTTCCTTGAAATTGCTTCATTTTCTAAACCTGAGATACAAAAAAACCCCCTACAATATGCACAAAAACCACTGCATAACCATAGTAACATCATGTTTCCATTACTCGAAATATTATGCATGCAACTTTGGGAAATACCCTTATTATGAGAAAAGCTGCAACTTTTACTTAAAAAAAAAAAAGCTCTACCCTATCATTATCCCGTGTTATATAATTGCAGTGTATTAAATCTCTTAGTAGCGGGCTCTTGCTTCGGTGCTCAGCATTTGTACAGCATTCAAATGCACCAAGCATGGCTCATGCACGCAGCCACACTGAGCTGCATCTCGGTTGGCCACTCTGTGCAGTCACGGCGACAATCTTGATCACACCTGTGGTCAGCTTCGGCTTGTCAGGTCCCCATTTCACAGCCGGGTGTACAATAAACACTCTTTGGGTCTCCAGCGTGACAAACGGTAATCTCGACTCCTCCAACAGGTTGTCTTCTACGTCCAGGTCGTCGTCGTCGTCGTCGTCTTCATCATCGTCGTTGTCTACGAGGTCCCCATCCTCGTTGTCTTCCGTCCCCCGGGAAGAGAGCGTACCAGCCCCACTCTTTCCCCGAGCCGGTCCATTACCGGCTGGCGGCTGGCGAAAATTGACAGCAGAGTTGTGCCAAAACCTAACGGGATTACGCCACTGACAGCGAGCTGGCAGCAAGCGAACCTCCGGGCGTAATACCTGCAATAAGCATTGCAATTGCCGCCACCGGGAACCCATGGCAATCAATACGTGCAACACTCATTACATTCCCCAAGGGGGGTGGTGGGGCTGGCTCTACCTCAGTTTAGAACAAGATCTGTTACGGAACACAAGTCCCAAAGGTGCTTTTTCCAAATCTCCATAGACATTTACGGAACGGAAGTGCCTTCTTTGTTGACCCCACCGGTTGGTGCAGCACGCCTAGAAGCTCCCGCCCCTCTCCGCCATTCTACCCCTCCCGGCGAAGAGGGGAAAAAAAAAAAAAAAAGCAACCCGCGGGGCGGGGTTTGAAGAAAGCCTTCCAATAATGAGCCGACAATCTCTTCCGGGCGGCTGTCACACATTCCTTTTTCATTGGGTGGGTCGAAGGGAGAGCGACGGGAGTTGGCTCTGGCTCTGCGCCAGGAAAGCGACAGCTTAAACTGACGTTCTTTCGGGTCCGAATCGGGTCCTTCTCTGGACCGGCGCAGCCCACTGGGTAGGGGGGCGCGCGCGGGTCCCTGTCCGGGCTGAGGGTTGGGCTTGGGGTGGGGTGAGCCGGCCGTGAACTGAGCTTTGCTCCCTCTTTGGTTCTCCCAGGGGCTGCTGCATCCCGCGGGGTTTGCAATAAGCGTCCCGTCCCCTGCAGCTTCCCTCCCTCGGTGTCTTTCAGTAACGCCGCCGCCCTCCTTTACTTGGCTTTAATATCCCGTAATGTATAGCCCCCTTCTTGATGCCCCTCCCTTTTCCCCCTTCAAGGCTCTTCCTCTTGCAATGCAAAAACTTCCATGGCTGAGGCTTTGTTTAATTCCCTTTCACGGCCTTAACCCCACCTGTGAATTCTTTGCGCTCAAAAGCTTAAAAAAGGCTGGCGGTAGCGTCTTTGTCATTTGGGAAGTTTTTTATTTGATTTTTTTTGCATCCGACTTTGACAGGGCAGGGTAGACTCCTTCCTTCATGTTCATTGCTGCCATATTTGTATGTTTGTCTTGCGCTCATGGTGATATGCAATGTCTCCTTTCTTGCACTGTCTGCACTATATTTTGTGCAGCTTTGCACACAGTTAAAGACTTTATTTTCATGTTACACCGTTTTATACATCTTATTGCATCATAATGAATGATCTAAACTTCAGAGGAAAAGAGGTGGAGAAAGAGTTTCCTACCTGTCAGATCTTATATTGTACAATCTCCGCTATGTCATGCCACCACATCCAGAGTTTTACATAATTTCCATCTTGGAACTGGAGATTTCTCTGTTTTTATGGTGTGTCGTGTGTGTGGCATACTTTTTATATTTATAGTTATCTAAAATACCAAATGCAAAGATTCGGTTAGTAGTTCAGTTCCCAATAGAGTTTAACCATCTGGTAATCTGCATTTTAATGATTCACAAAATAGATGAAATTGGTAACAAGGCACTTCCTGTTTATAACTAACAGTGTAAGAGTATTTCATCAGGAACAAATGATTAGGATGTTCCAAAGGTGCTTTTTCAAGGAGCAACTGGACTTTCTGGTTTTTCTTCGAAGACGTTTCACTTCTTATCCAAGAAGTGAAACGTCTTCGAAGAAAAACCAGAAAGTCCAGCTACCTCTTGAAAAAGCACCTTTGGGACAACCATGACCTGGATGACTGAGAACCTTCATAGACAAATTATTAGAATGATCGTGGTAAGAGATTTCTGATAGATACTCACTTAAGAATGTGAGTGCAGAGGAAAAAAAAACTTAAGAACAACATTGCAGATTTACAGCTTTCCTTTCAGAGAGTATGATATCCAATGACATCCTAATTCTAAACCACTTGGAAATACTTTTTAGATATTGTTAGTACTAACAGTTATTATATTGGTCTTCTGTGAATGTTGAAAAGTGAAGTTATGTTTTCTTTATCCAAATAAATGATCAAAATAAAACAAGAGATAGACGAATAAAACCTTTGTTCATACCACTTGTCTTCTTTTCCCTAAAACTTCAAATGTTTTAGACTTTATTCATATGAAAGGTGTTAGAGGGCTAGCTTCCTTAGATATTGTATTATAACATCTATCCCACTGTAATTTGATGGCTCTAAATTATGGTGATTTTATTATGGTTTTATCTTATTATCTTCTATATTGTATTGTGTGTATGTGTGTGTTTGTGTATGTGTGTGTATTTGCTGATACTTTAATTAAACTGAATTTGTATATCTGTGATTGAATGACCTCTGTAGGTGCCATATGCTAATAATAATTTACTGGTCATTGTTTCCTACGTATTGGCCAAATTTACCTAGGATTGAATGGAATATAATATTCCAAATGTTGTAGATTTATATATCATCTTTATATGGCTTATGTTCTAAATTTAATCCTTTCCTAGTCCTAAATATTGTCTTGATTTGTACCTTGATTTCCTTTTTATTCCATAGAACACATCAACTAATTTAGGTAATTTATTCCTTGGCTATTTTATTAGCAAAGTGTACCTTGGTTTTTATTTTTCCATTTTTTTTAACTTGGCAAAAGACTCACCATACTTTGTATCCAAGGCTTCCCATTGTTGTAGGAAATTGTTTTTTCCTTTTATAGTGTCATTGATTCTGCCTGTTAACCACACTGGTAGGCTTTCATACATACTGCTTCCTTTCCTAAAATGTATAGATGTTCCTTCTGACGGAACATCTATTACTATGGTTTTAAGTAAAACAGATTTTCTTAAGACTTAATCTCTAAGAATCCTCATTGCAAGGTTGTTTTAATAATGCTATTTTCATTTTGAAAACCATTGTTAAATGTGACTGGGTGGAACTTTTAGGACCACTTTTTATGTTATATTTCATTACAGTGTTGTCATTATTACCTTTCTTCATTCTTGAGCAGGAGCATTATCCAGTATAATGCTTAAAACTGTCACCTCCTGTTTTTGTTTAATGTCTCCAGGTTTGTTTACCTAAAATCTCAATATTTACATGCTAATTTTGATTTTATTAATGAATTCCCAAGGAGGCTTCCTTAGTAAAATATAAGTATTCCACAGCATCTTAAAACTCTACTTATCTTGGAATATCTGTTACATAGTCCAGATGTTTTCTTTATGGTTGTCTTGACCTCTGACCTTGTATTTCATGTTAGTTTATATCTGCAAAAAGCAGCCACTGCACCTTTTCTGCATCAGAAATGACAGTGAGGGAGGATATGGAAACTTTGAAAGAATAACATTACAAAAAGGTCAATTTTCCAACTCCCCTTAATTATGCTTGATTCATGTGAGGCCTGTACATATTTACCCAGATAGTCCTCTAACCTAAAACATGTTAATGAACACCTGACTAAATAATGGAAGATCTTAACGCAAAGAGGTTTGGACATGTGCAGGGGCAAATAACATGTTGATTATATCATCATTCAAATGCAATGACTTATTGTACAATCTTGTGTCAGATGTTAGGATACAAGTACATAGTATTAGCATTTAGTGATGTTGTCAGTGCACATCATTTTTGGTGTTTCTGTAAGTTGATGAAGGCAAGGGAATCGGCTCAAGTCATAATGTAAGTCAAAAGATAAGGGACCTTATTAAGTGGAGACAATGTTTGCTTGTATTTTTTGAATGGAGAACTAAAAGGGACAATTGTACTGGGGGGAGATGAGAACTCAACCCATCTTTACCTAAGTCTGATTAGGACTAGCAGTAGACAAAGTAATTTCTAATTTAAAAAGTGCTAAGATGGGAAAGGCTACAATTTGTAAAGATGTAACATGGCTTGAAAACAATAATAGTAGGAAAAGTAAGCAGCTGTAATTCAGAAAGAAAAACTGAGACAGATTGACAGAGGTGAAATCCAGCAGTACATACTTTCTCACATTTTAAATTAAATTTGCATAAGCACTGAGGAATATATGCTGCTTATTCCTCCCCTACATCAAAGGCACCACAGATAAAATCAGCAAAATTCTCCACAAACATGATATCAGGACAGCCTTCGGCACTGACCAAAAAATAGCCAACATCCTAAGAAACCCCAAAGAAAAGATCCAGCTAGAAAACCAAGGAGTTTATGAAATACCATGCAACAATTGCCCAGTCACATACACTGGACAAACCAACAGGAGAATAAATGCATGCATCGCAGAACACAAGAACACAGTCAGAAAAGAAGAAAATACTTCCTCCCTTTTCCAGCACCTTAAAGCCACAGGACATGAAATTAATTTTGAGAAACCAAATTAATCTCCAATACTGAACACTTCAACAAGAGAATAATCAGGGAAGCCATTGAAGTAGAGAAACACCCCCATAACATGAATAAACAGGGCAATGCCTCCCACCTACCAGACATCTGGAAATTAGCCCTTATCAGCAAACGAGTCCCAGCCACGAAAACCAACACCGGACCCAAAACAACACATGACACCACCACCATTCTCCCTCACCAGACTCAAAGCCAAACTCATCCCATAGACGAAAGACAACCACTGTCCAGAAAGCAGACCACGGATGCATCACCAGCTGCCACACACCCTGACCCCCAAACCGAGCAAACGGACACACGCCATGAACACATATCCAGGCCTCAAACTCGGAGCCTAACCAAAACCCGGAACGTCACATCACAGCCACCCGCTCAGGATATCATGTCACAGAACTCAGGAGGTTACACCACAAAACCTCAGGATGTTGCAACACAGCCAACGACCCAGGAGATTACAGCACAAGACCCAGGATGTCAAACAATAGAACTCAGAAGGTCATCACACAGCCCATTACCCAGGTCGTTACAACACAGGAGGCTGCTAGACACACAGTCAATACCTCAGCCACACATGTTCTTACAAAAAAGCTAGCCAATCTGCAAACATCAACTCCATCAACCAATCAAGAAAAGACAACACAGCCAACCTCCCCACCAGGGAGATGGCAGCCCCCCTCCATATAGGGAGACGGCAGCTCAGATCACGCTTTGCTCACACAAGCACGAAGCCAAAAGCACCAGCCTGAAAATGGTGAGTTGGACCTCGTCGAAACGTCACCAAGATACTCTCAATTTTACACGGGAAAAGATATATATATAATACATACATACATACATACATACATTCATACATACATATATATGCAGTTCTTGACATATTCGGGTCTTTTCCCATGTAAGATTGAGAGTATTTTGGCGATGTTTCGACAAGGTCCCACCATCTTCAGGCTGGTGCTTTTGGCTTTGTGCTTGTGCGAGCAAACCATGATCTGAGCTGCCGTCTCTCTATAAATACTGGTGGG